CCCCACCCAGGCCCCCACCCCCCCAGCCAGCTAGCTAGCTAGCTAGCTAGCTAGCTAGCTAGCTGGCTAGCTAGCGATTGGCTCACGTCTGAGTTGGCGGCGGCGCGGACTTCCTGGGGGCTCATGAGGGTCAGCGTGGCCTCGGCGTTGGCTAGCTGGAGCTGCAGCGGCTTTTCTAAAAAGGCTTTATCGCCTTTGAAGCTAGCTAGCCAAACTGTGCACTGGTGGTTCTTATCTACGCGGGAAACGTAGCGAATTTGCACCTGAGGGTCGCAAAACAGCGGCAAAAAGGCCCTTTTTTGCGCTTCTTTTGCACTTATTTGCCTTTATTTTGCATTTATTTTCTATTTATTTTCTTTTATTTTCTTTTATTTTATCTTGTTTGAATTTATTTCGCTTTTTCCGGCTTTTTTCCGCCTTTTCGGCGCATTGCGTTCGTTTGCTGCTTCGCTGTCTGCGGCACTGCACGGGTTAATTGGCAGATAAAACCAAGCACAAATAAATAAATAAACAAATAAATAAATAAATAAATAGATAAATAAATAAATAATAATAACAAATAAAGAATAATAAGTGATGAAGAAGGAACAAACAGAAGCTGAGTGGAGTGCGCAGGAGCAGTGACACCGCAGCAAGGCGTGAGGAAGCTGAGCAGACACCGGAGTTGGTGGCATCAAAATGGAGCAAATGAACTCCCAAAAGCATTAAAATGCAAATAAATTAAAATTTTGAACAATTTTGAACATTTTAGATCCAAAAAAGACCAAAAATTGAACCATTTCGACCCCTTTCCCACTTTCGGAGGCAGCTTTTCCCGCAGCGCGTCCTTTATTGCCTGCCAGCTCGGCGGCTCCGCCGGCAAGTTGCTCAGCCGGGCCATGCAGCTGCAGCAGAGTGCAGCAGCAAACTAATTATAAATATAAATAATAAATAAAATAATTAATAATAATAATAATAATAATAATAATAATAAACAATAGCAGCAGCAATAAGCAGCAGCAGCAGCAGCAGCAGCAGCGCAAGCACGCCAGCAGCACCTGCAGCATCGCCCTTTGAGCAGCAGCAAAGACACAGCCGCCCTTCCAAGCAGCAGCAGCAGCAGCAGCATTGCAGCAGCAGCACCACTGCAACAGCAGCAGCATTGCAGCAGCAGCAGCATTGCAGCAGCAGCAGCATTGCAGCAGCATTGCAGCAACAGCGGCATTGCAGCAGCAGCACCATTGCAGCAGCAGAACTGCAGCAGCAGCAGGACTACAGCAGCAGCAGCAGCACTGCAGCAGCAGCAGCAGGAGGCTGACCCGACTGCGTGGGGGTCTCTGGCAAGTCCAGTGTCTTCTTTTTCTTTTTTGAATTTCTTTTGAAGTGGCGGCAAAGGCTTTTGGCGCTGCAGCCAGAGTTCGCCTGCTGCGTCGGGGTGTACAGACACCGCAGCGCTGTCAGCAAGTGCTGCTGCTACTTCCTCTTTTGTTGCTGCCAAAGCTTTTATTCGGGGGCTGCTGAGGACGAAGCAAACGTTGAGGGCCACCTGCGCGCAGCAGCAGCAGCAGCAGCAGCAGCAGCAGCAGCACTCGCTCCGCCAGTTCCAGCAGCAGCAGCAGCAGCGGCGGTCGCGCTGCTGCTGCTGCTGCAGTTGCTGCAGCAGACGCGCTGCTGCTGCAGCAGCAGCAGCAGCAGCAGCAAACTGCCGCGGGACTGCAAATGACGCTGCGCTCGGAAAATGAAGTTAGTCGGCAAGGGGGCAGCCACGAGCTGCTGCAGCGCAGCAGCAGCGGACACGCCGCTGCTGCTGCTGCCGCTGCTGCTGCTGCTGCTGCTGCTGCTGCTGCTGCTGCTGCTGCTGCTGCTGACCCCTTTTCCCTGCTTCTCTGCCTCCTGGATCTTCTCGTGGAAGAAGGCGTCGGTGGCCAAGTTGGCGTCGGACAAATAATATTCGATTTGGCGTTTTAAAGTGGCTTTGAGTTCTTCCTCAGTCATTTCTTCCCGTGTCTTGAGTTTGGGAGCTGCTGCTGCTGCTGCTGCTGCTGCTGCTGCTGCTGCAGGGCCCCTCCGCGGCCTCTTGGCCGGCCGGGGGCCCTTCCCGTGCTCCTCCCGGCCCGCAGCAGCCTCTGCTGCTGCTGCTGCTGCTGCTGCTGCTGTGGCTGCAGCAGCGGGCTTGGCCGCTGCTGCTGCAGGGCTCGCGCCCGGCTGCGCTGCAGGCGCGCTGGCCTCTTCTGCTGCCATCTTCCTTCGCGGGAAGGCCCGAAAAAGGCGAAAAAGGAAAAATTAAAAAACCAAAAGATTTATTTTTTGTTTTTTGTCGAAAATAAAAAAGAATAAACCAAAAAGAAGCTCGGAAGGCGCAGCAACGCGTCGGGGGCCCCGTCGAGCTGTGGGGCAGAGAGGCCTCCAAGACCCCAGCAGCAACAAGCTGCACTTTTTTCTCTTTTTCCAATTTTCCTCTTAAAATTGTCTTTTATTTATTTATTTTATTTTATTTATTTATTTATTTATTTATTTATAATTCAAATTCGGTTCCATTGGCTCCAGAGAGAGCGTCTTCAGCCGCACTCTGCGCGCGCAGCAGTTCACCTTGTTGTCTTCTGAACTGAAGTCGAAAACACTTCTACGCCGGATTTGGCTCTGAAAATGCCATTAAAAGACTCGAAAATGTTTAATTTATTTATTTAATTCATTTAAACTTTTGGATTTGTCTTTAAAGTCGAAAAATTCCAAAAAAAAGCCGCATTTAGTGGCCAGGCGATGTTGTTTCATCGCCTCGTCTCGCATTGTTTCCTGCTGCACTTGAACAGCAAGAATAAGAGGTCTATTTGACTCAATTTGAATTTATTTATTTCTATTTAAATAATTTAAATTAATTTATTTAAATTTTTAATTTAATTTATTTAAATTTTTCATTTTTTCATTCAAAGTGGCTCAGATCACTCGAGATCAGTCCAGATCAGCCGAAGCGACTTCGGGTCAGTTTGGATCATTTTCGGCTGAATTTAAACAAATTTAAACCAATTAAAATCAATTTGAATAAATAAAACTCAAATTTTATTTATTTTGATGAATTTTAATTAATTTTGAGAAGTTCAAACCCATTAAAGTGCCATTCCAGATGAAATAAGATGAACTCAAATAGAAGTAGAGCAATTTAAACGCAATCAAATGAATCTGAATTATTGAATATGATTTTAAATGAAATTAAACAAAGTTTGAGGGCTTTAAATCATTTTAAATCATTTTAAATCATTTTAAATCATTTTAAATCAAATTAAATCATTTTAAACAAATTTGAATCAATTAAGATCAATTTAGATCAATCTGAATCAACAAAAGAATACACTGAGACGAATCTTGATGGATCTTCATCGTTTTTCACGCCAATGAGCTTCAATTTGGACGAATTAAAAGGAATTGAACAAATAAAAGTGAAATTAAAACAAATAAATTCGCAAATTTGAATTAATTTGAAGAAATTTGGTCCATTGAGGAGAAAAAACTGCTGCAAATGGCGGCTCAGCCCTTTGGCCGCAGCCCGCGGGCATTTCCTCCCCAGAGGAGCCGCTGGGCCAGCAGCACCAGCAGCTGACCAGTGGTTCATTCTGCTGCTGACCAGTGGTCTCTGCTGCTGCTGCTGCTGCTGCTGCTGCAGCGGTTCTTTCTGCTGCTGACCAGCGGTGTCTGCTGCTGCAGCCCGCAGAGAGGAATCCAGCTGCTTTGGATTCAATAGGAGAGCAGCAGCAGCTTCTCTCTCTTTTATTTCAAAAAATAAAACTTCTCCAAGTCCCAATTACTTAATTGTTAATTCATATTTAATAAATCAAAACTGCATGGCGCTGCCTTAGCAGGCAGCAGCAGCAGCAGCTGCAGCAGCAGCAGCAGCCGCAGCAGCAGCAGCAGCAGTAGCGGCGGCAGCAGCAGCAGCAGCAGCGGGACGGAGGCGTCTGCGTGCCTCTCTGCGGGGCGAAGTTTTGCTGCTGTGGGCCATCTGCTGCAGCAGCAAATCCCCAAAAGAGGGAATCAGTTGGGAGGGTTTTGCTGCAGCAGCAGCTGCCTCAGCGTTCTTGCTGCAGCAGCTGTTGCCTCAGCAGCAGCAGCAGCAGCAGCTCGCAGCAGCAGCTACAGGGCTTAAAGCCTGTATAGCCCAGCAGCAACAAGACTGCTGCAGCTCCCTGGGGCCCCCTGAAAAGGTGTTTACTAGCTCCAAACCCTAAACCCTAAACCCTAAACCCTAAACCCTGAGGTCTAAAACCCAAACCCTAATTTAGGGTCTAGAGCCAGCGCGCCTGTGCGCCCTTTCGCTCCTAAACCCTTTGTTTGAAAACCCTATTCTCCAGTTGCTGCTGAGCTCGAGAACGTAAACCCCGAACCTAAACCCTAAACCCTAAACCCCAAACCCTAAACCCTAAACCCTAAGCCCTCGAGGCGGCCAGCCTCTCCACTCTTAGCCCTTCCACTTGCTGCTGCAGCCTCGAGCGTCTCGGCAGCCCTATCGCAGCAGCCAGGGCCAGCAGACAAGGCTCCCTGCAGCTGCAGCAGCTGCTGCAGCAGCTGCAGCAGCTGCTGCAGCAGCTGCTGCGGCAGCTGCAGCAGCTGCAGCAGCTGCAGCAGCAGCAGCAGCAGCAGCAAAACGCCTCGCTCGCTGCAGGGGCCAGGCTGGGCCGCTTTTAAAGGCCTCTGGAGCCTCAGTGGGGCAGCAGCAGACTCGTGTGTACAGGGTGGCGCATGCAGCAGCGGGGAGTTGGTCACTTTTTGCTGCAGAAGAAGAATAAAATGGAGAAAAAAAGAAATAAAATAATTAATTTAATTATTTAAAAGTGTTTTGAGTTCTTTTGAACGGCCAGAAACGCCGCAGAGCCGCAGGCCGGACTGTATGTCTTCTGCGTGTTGCTGCCGGGCGCTCCCTGACGGCAGCAGCAGCAGCAGCAGCAGCAGCAGCAGCTGCTGCTGCAACTGAAATGCAGCCAGAACTGCTGCTATTTATTTAAAACACATTTATTAATCTGTGCTGCTGAGAAGTTTCTCGCAAGCAGCCAGCAGCAGGCGACAGAGGGCCAGCTGCAGCCACAGCAACACAGCAGCAGCAGCAGCTGTGGCAGCAGCACAGCAGCAGCAGCAGCAGCTGTGTGCAGACAGACCGTGTGTCGTTGGCTGCGCTCGCGTTAGAGCTTCTCCGTTGCTGCTGCTGCTGCTGCAGCTTTTTTTCATTTTGAATTTAATTTCCGAATTTTATTCTTTTTATTTCTTCCGTAGCCTGTATATACAGTAGAGCCCCCGCGGCAGTCGCTCACCCACCTGCGCGGCCACCCACCACGAGCACTTGCTGCTGCTGCTGCTGCTGCTGCTGCTGCTGCTGCTGCTGCTGCAGTTCTTTCTCTTTTTGCTTCTGGGGGCCCCTTTTGGGACACACTCGACAAAGTTTCAGTCCCTTACTTTCTTCCTTTAGCAGGGGCCCACTCTCCTCGGCCCCACCGCGCTGCTGCTGCTGCTGCCGCCGCTGCTGCTGCTGCTGCTGCATGCTGCTGCTGCTGCTCCCGGTTCTGCTGCGTGGGGCCGGGACCGCCTGGAGTTGCTGTGACTGTGAGTCGCGCCTTCCCCGCCGCTGCTCCTGCTGCTGCTGCTGGGCAGCGCGCAGCAGCAGTACACAGAACGAGCTAGCAGCAGCAGCAGCAGCAGCAGCAGCAGCAGCAGCAGCAGAGGCGCAGCACGGCCAGACGCATGCAGCAGCAGGGGCCCTCTGTGCCCCCTCTCGCGGCGCGGCTGTTGTCTCTCGGGGGGCCCGGAGGGCCTGCGCAGGGGCCCCTCAGCAGCAGCTGCAGCTGCTGCTCTCGTGCTGCTGCTGCTGCTGCTGCTGCTGCTGCTGGGCGCAAGGGACCCACCGAAGCAGCTAATGGAACAGCAGACGCAGGAGCGGAGGGCTGGGGCGAAGCCGTCGCGGCAGCGGCTGTCTTGTTTGCAGGCTCGGGAGGCGGGGGGCCCCACAGCAGTAGTTGCTGCTGCAGCAGCAGCAGCAAAGGCAGCAACAGCAGCAGCAGCAGCAGCCGTTGCGCGCGCTGCAGCAGCAGCAGCAGTAGCAACTGCCGCCTCAGCAGCGGCGGCGAACTCCGCCCGCTCAGCGGGGGAGGACGCGTCTTGCTGCCCCTCTCCGTCTGCTGCAGCAGCAGCAGCAACAGCAGCAGCAGCAACAGCAGCAGCAGCAGCAGCAGCAGCAAGGCCCCGCAATGGCCCTGAGGGCCCCTGCAGGGCCTCTTTCAGTGACAGGCGCAAACTGCAGCGGCGCGCCCTGTGTGAAGCAGCAGAAGCAGCAAAGCTAGAGCGAGACCGAAGCAAAGAGGAAGCAGCAGCAGCAGCAGCTGCTGCTGCTGCTGCAGCAGAAGCTGCTGCAGCAGCAAGCAGCAGCGCAGACGCGAGCGCGCAGACGCAAAGAACAGTCACTGAGACAGCCGCCCAACCAGCAGCTGAAGCAGCAGCAGCAGCAGCAGCAGCAGCAGCGAGTACGCCGCCAGCAGCAGCAGCAGCGCCGGTCGCAGCAGCAGCGTCGTCCTCAGCATCCTCCCCCGCATCTCCAGCAGCAGCAGCAGCAGCAGCAGCAGCAGCAGCAGCAGCAGCAGGATCGGAATGTGTTAGTAGGCCATCGTTTGCTTCGTCCCGGCGGCGCGTGCCGGGGCCGAAGTCTCCTTTGCTGCTGCTGCTGCAGAAGCCAGCAGCAACAACGACGACGACAGCGCAGGCGAGCAGCAGCAGCAGCAGCAGCAGCAGCAGCGGGAGCAGCAGCGGGAGCAGCAGGAGCAGCAGCGGCAGCAAGCGTCGCAGCAGCAGCAGCGCGTCCGCGAGCCTGCGCCGCAGCCGCGCCAGCAGCAGCAGCAGCAGCAGCA